TCCAACCCCTACTATTCTGTGATTCTGTGATTCTGTAATAATTTCTTATCTGCTTGACTAGAAAGTGTCTGGAATTATTGTCTCTATTATTTTTAATTAAAGCTTGTATTTCGCTGTTTTTCAAGATGCGTTTCAGCCTGGAGTAGAGAAGGGTCTGGGGATACCTTCTAGCAGCCTTCCAGTACCTGAAGGGGCCTGCAGGAAGGATGGAGAGGGACTTTTCACAAGGGTGTGTAGTGATAGGACAAGGGGGAACGGCTCTAAACTGAAAGAGGGCAGATTTAGATTAGATATTAGGAAGAAATTCTTCACCATGAGGGTGGTGAAGCCCTGGCCCACGTTGCCCAGAGAAGCTGTGGCTGCTCTCTCCCTGGCAGTGTTCAAGGCCAGGCTGGACAGTGCTTTGAGCACCCTGGTCAGGTGGAAGGTGTCCCTGCCCGTGGCAGGGGGACTGGAACTGGACGATCTTTAATGTCCCCTCCAACCCAAACCATTTGATGATTCTCTGTCAATGGCTTTTCTTTCTCTCACCTCAAAATTTCTAGGTAGGAATCAAATCCGTGTAATTAAATATAGCAAATAGTTCTGGATTGGGTAGTTATTACTAATTATTGTATATGTTGTCTGACTTTGGGGTGGGTACAAAATTATTTATGTAGTAATAACCTTAATTTTCATCGTTCTTGGATCTGACCTCAGATATGAGCAATTGTCAAGTAAACATAGCAATTAGATACATGATAAATAAATCCTCCTTTATGAAGTTCATCAACTTTTTAATCTTAACTTCCAGTTAAACCATTGAGAGAACTGAAGAGTCTAAAACACACTGAACATGTTCAGCAATGAGACTAGCTGTGAAAATACTCTCGCTTTTTTTGGTAATGTTGCCAAATATTAAATGATGCTTTTTTAGCGTGCTCATTTTAAAATTATGTTTTTTTCCTAGTGTGCTTTTCTGTTTAACAATTTAGATGTTGCAGAAGGAGCCGTCAGGAAAACTGAGCTTTAATGAGTTCTTGAAGTATTTGGCAGTGGAAGCTCTGAAGGAGTGGTTTTGTTTAGCCCTGTCTCTGCACAGTCTGGTGCAGTGGGAAACGTAATTTCACTAGGAATGAGGATGAAAACACAGAGACTGTTCCCATTATTTAAAAAAACCAACCAAACAACAAAACAACCTACAAAATCGACTTTGTTATAAAACCTGGTTGAAACAACAAAAAAGACAGGCTTGTCCTTTTAACGTATATGTTAATATTTAACATGTCTTAAAGCTGGCCATTAAAAATTAGACTTGTGCTCCTGTGTTTCTCTGAACCTCACTTGGCTGTTTTCTCCATAGGCCTTTTATTTCCCAGAAAATTCACTTTCCTGACTTTTCTACGAGAGACATACATAGAAACTACGTTGACTGTGTACGATGGTTGGGAGATCTAATTCTTTCCAAGGTAAAGCGGCAGCTTTTTCAGGTCCATTACTCTTACTTGCTGGTTTTGAGGATCTTAAACAGTAGAAGCTTTACTAGAATTTCGATTGTAGGTTAACTTAACATGCTGTGTCAAATGATTTTGTGCAGTGTATTTTGAATTTAGTCAGCTGTCAGGATGTGTGGGTAAGCAGCTTGGACTTAAAAAGTAAAGATATTACTACAGCTGTACCTCTGCTAAAAGTACAGGGATACCAACTGACCAGACTGGTAGAGAGTACAGACAGAGTATGTGTAGATCCTGATGAGGCTCTTGTCGCCAAAGGGAGAAATGAGGGTTCCCGTAAGGGACTACCTTTGGTTTGTGCTCGTTGTGTCCGCCAGTAACATGTACTTGCAGAGACTGCACCAGGCGGTCTTACTGCCTCTTTGGCAGAAATTGGTGCACGCGTGGTCCTGATGGTAAACAACCCTCAAATCTAGGTTAATTTCAGCTGCTCGTGGAAGTGTGTTTGAGCACGTCTGGTTGACGTCCTCTGAAGTGGGTGAGGGAGGGCTGCTGGGGTCCTGTTGCCTGGCAAAGCTGTGAGGGCAGCAAGCTCCCAGCGATGGGCAGTGACATATTGTTTGTTGGTGATGCAGCCATGATCTAAGAACAGAGGTGAGATTTTCGGTTTTCTGGTTATTTTTAATGTAGTTGGGGAAGATGTGAGATGAAATGTTTGGTTCTATTTCTAGTTAGACTGAATGTGTGGTATAAATTGTAAATATAGCTGATTTTTTTTTTTTTCTTCCCGCTGTTTCCCCTCAGTCTTGTGAAAATGCCATTGTGTGCTGGAAACCTGGCAAAATGGAAGATGATATAGATAAAATCAAGCCCAGTGAGTCAAATGTGACCATACTTGGGAGATTTGATTACAGCCAGTGTGATATATGGTACATGAGGTTTTCAATGGATTTCTGGCAAAAGGTATGTGCGAGCTTTGCCTTGGCTGTGTTTGAAGGTGCGTAGCTTTTCATTGATTCCGTATTTATGGATGTGGGAAGTCTTGGTTGGTGTGATGGGATGTTTGAGAAGCAGAAGGATTTACTGCAAGGGGCTTTATATGAAACTGGAGGAGGTCCACATTTTTCATTCTGGGTTCTGCCTGATGGAAAAAGTTCCACCAAAGATATATTTATTTTCCACTAAAGATACATTTACTGATATCTTCCTGCTCTGCCTGCAGAGGTGAGTAATAAAGTTGGAGGAAGGAGGCAAATCTTACAGAATTTATGGCCTCTCCAACAAACTCATGAAATCATTCATGTTCAAACACTCAAAAACAATTTATCAGCTGTAGAGCCTTTATAAAATTCTGTTTTAATTCTGCGAGATGGTATTTTAAAACTTCTGTCTCCTCTGCTTTCCCTTAAAGATGCTTGCTCTGGGCAACCAGGTTGGCAAACTTTATGTTTGGGATTTAGAAATAGAGGATCCTCATAAAGCCAAGTGAGTACTTACTTTTTTAAATTTTATTTTTGTTAAGACAGGGAGGAGTTGGGGTACTTTCCTTTTTCCATTACTGATAACTATAGAAATTCTTTAATAGTAATAGTCACTTTCCATTGTAACTACCGGGGAAACAAACATTCTGAGCCAAAACATACTGAAAAAACAAACATACTGATTATTTATATTACAGGAGTGCCAAGAGGCCCCAGTCAGATTGTGCTGGGCATCATATGTAGATACAGTAAAAGACAATTTATTCCTCAAAGAGTTTGTAAACTAGTTAGGTGGAAAATTTACAAAGTGATTAAGAGAAGCTGTGCTAGGTGGGTGTGTAGCACATGGCAAAAGAAAAATAGGTGAAAAGACTAAAGTAATGAGCATGTAAAGGTTAGCTGTGAGCATAATGTGGAGAAACTGGTGTGCCTTTCCAGTTCCTCACCTGTGTGCCCAGGAAATTTGACAGCATGTCTTTTATATATATATGTATGTATCTGTCTCTAAACACATGCAAATACATATAAATACATAAAAATTAATACATAGATAAAAATAACACATTATATGTGTAAAATGTATATACACTATGTATGTAAATAATAGATGTATTATATTTGTATATACACGATATAATGTTATATATACTTCGATATCTTTTATATATTAAATATAATCTATATAAATATGTGTATATATATACAGAACATATGAAGTTCTTGAAAATGCTGCAGTCTTTAATCACCCCATTTTGATACTTCATTCCTGACCACTGGGAAAGGACCCTGACTACAAAGTGCTCAGTAATGTGATCCAATAAGCTTTCAGTCAGTGCTTCAGTGAAAATTGGGTGGACGAGGCATGGCAGTGGGCAATCAGGAAATTATTGCTTTCCCAAGGCCACGTTTGGAATACAAAATACTTCATGAAGGGCATCATCCCGTTGCCCTTCCGTTCCTCCTGGGTCACATAAGTGAGAGGTTGGTGAGACAGCGCTCCGTAATGTAGTTAGCAAGTGCAGATTTAACGTCGCAGCTGAATAATTTTCTTTTATTTATAGGTGTACGACTCTTACTCATCCTAAATGTGTCGCTGCCATTCGACAAACCAGTTTTAGCAGGGACAGTAGTATCCTTATAGCTGTGTGTGATGATGCCAGTATCTGGCGCTGGGACAGACTACGATAAAATACTTTTTCTTAATTCAAAGTAGAAAATATATTTTCAAATTATAATCTAGTCTGTTAACTCGCTAGTACGGTAGATGCATTTCGTGTAGACTTTCTCGAAGGTTCGGCGGGCTAGAGCTGAACTTAGTGATGTTTACATTCTGTGTATTGTTCTGCTTGAAATTGCTGCTTTTAATAAAAAGAAGTATTTTTGTAAAGTTTTCTGAATTGTCCATTTTAATTATTTCCCACAACGAGTTTTCGTTTATAGCCTATGAAATTGCTTTGCCTACAGCCATCACATAAATACACGGTAACTTGCTAGAAATTTGGTGTGTGCGTGCTCGCAGATGTCTTTGTGCCTTTTTTGACTGAAAACCGAATGAAGCTGTTGAATATTAGCCAGGGGCCACACAGAGGAAATAGGACACTTACGAGTATGGTATAAGTAAATGTTAAATCACTGCTAAAAACCTTCTGAACTCCCTCCTTATGTTAGTTGCACATGGAAACTGATAAAGCTTTAACAATCTCAGATTGGGATGTGCTTTTCACCATTTCTGTTATTGATTAGGGGGAAAAACTTTACTGGCTTGCTTTGTTTTTTTGTGGATCACATTGACCTCCTGTTTGGATTCTGGCTGTGTAGTTACTGCGATTACCTTAAATCAAAGTTAGTTAGAAGAAATATCACAGAGTCACAGAATGTTCGGGGTTGGAAGGGACCTCTGGCGATCATCTAGTCCAACCCCCCTGCCGAAGCAGG